TCTGCCTACTGACATTAGAACTTGCCGTTCTTTGCTGAGTTTCAAAGCCAGTTTGAAAACACATCTCTTAATTTTGTTTATCCAGATTGACATTATAAGTTGTAGCATTGTGATAAGGGGTATACGGGGTTTTATGTGTCCTGTGTTAAACCTAACGAGGGACGCACAAAACCCCGTATACCCCGAATCATAATGCTCCAACGAATTTATCTTACAGGATATTTTAATCTCTCATTATGTAAATATAACATTAAAACAAACTGAAATTCAATCATATGTTTTACTAACATGGTACTGACTACTCTATCCGAACCACTGGTTCACTGAATGCCGTGGATGCATGCTTTTTCCATGGGGCGAGGTATAACTGATTTATTCTCCTTCGCAAAGATTTATACGCCGTTTGGACGATATAACCAGAGATGGACGTTCCTTCACATGAGGTAGGATAATTCATCTTTGCCATGTACAGCGCGCTTTGAGCATATGACTTATGGATAATGCACTATAGAAATGCTCATTTATTATTATTATGTTTTACAGATTAAAGATGAAAATGCAGAAGAGAGGGTTCGGGTTATCCTGGCGCAGTCAGGCTGGTAAGGCTCATCATCAGCTCAGGGCCCTCGCCCCCTCTACACGCAGCACAGACAGCAAATAGGACTTCTCCTAGTCGAACCCACCAAGAACTTTCCGGAGAATATGAAGGCTCCCCAACACTGCAGCCTTCTGCATTACCCAGAGTGTCAGAACCCGGGCACTCTCCTGATCTCCGCCAAGAGATCAGGAGTTACCAAACCAAGAGCACCGAAAAAGGTACTTGGGATGCAAGCGAGACATTTCACAGGCGAAGTCCGCATATTTATCATGCTTTTCCTGAATCTTGCCAGTCACATTGCTGTCAAAAGGGACAGAAAAATCAATGATATATATAAATTTATTGGCTTTATCTAAAAGGACAGGATATGGTTTGTTGGCAGGGATTCTTCTGAGGCTGTATATGGGCCTATTCCACAGAAGTTTGAAAGCATCATTTTCCATGACGCCCTGGACATGTTCAGGGTCGTACCATGGATGGACCTCGGAGTCAAAGCCACAGACACGGCGGAGACGGTAGTAAAAAAGCAACGAGCCATGCCATCATGTCGTTTAAGATATGCTGTTTGTGCCAAAGAAGGGCATCCACTGACAAGGTGTTGGCCAGTCTCTGTGAATTCATTGCAAAGTCGACATTTCATGTTAATAGTCTCTTTAAGAATCACATTTAGGCGATTACGAGTGGGAAGTGACTGGTCCTGAGCAGCAAAAAGGAAGCCCTCAGTTTCACATTTAAGACCAGCCGACTTCATCCAGGCGAAGGAGTCGGCGGGATTGCTATTCTGTTCCACACACTGCATGTACACACGATGCAATGGCTTCTCAGAAAGCTTCTCCACAAAAGACCGACTCTGGGCAGACTTGGTGAAGGACTTCACCTGGTTTACTCCCATCGCTGTACCGTCCAGCAGTACATCGCCATCAGCAAAGTCAACCTCAAATTTCAGATTCTGTCCAACAACCTTGGCACGCTTAAAATAGCTGTGGAATTCCTTGCTTTCATCATGAGTCTTCACATGCATCACCAGAGGATCATCCGATAAATAAATATGTGCAAAAGTACACAATAAAATTCTGTCATGAAGAGCCTCCACATTAATCAAACCCCGACCTCCAATTGATTGGCATATATACACGGTTAAGAGAGGAACGAGGGTGGTGGGCTCTGTTATCAGACATGATCCTTCTGGTCAGGCGGTCAAGACTCTGGATGTCTTGTTTCGTCCAATCAACTACTCCAAAGGAATAAGAGAGGACTGGCACAGCAAAAGTATTGGTGGCTTTGACCTTGTTTCGAGCATTTAGCTCTGAGCTCCAGATTTTCTTTAAACGAGATTTGTACTCGGCCCGAAGTTTGTCTTGAATCTGGGCATTCTGGAGCTTTATCTCGAACTTGTATTCCAAGATAGGTGTAGGCCTGATCTTCCACAAGATGCTAAATAACTCCTCCCCTTGTAACTTGGACCGATCCATCATTAGTTACCTTGCCACGTTTCAAATGAAGAGTATTACATTTGTTGAGACCAAATGTCATGCCAATATCATTCGAAAAGGACTCGACAAGGAGAACCTGCTCTTTCAAATTGGTATCTCCTTTGGCAAGGAGCTCGATATCATCCATGTAAAGGAGATGAGTAAGAGGTGTTGGGATCTGTGCTGAGGAGGTCCGGGATGGTAACCCTCCTCTTTATTGAGCAGAAAGCTCAAAGGATTTAAAGACAGACAAAAAGCAAAGGACTAAAGGAATCCCCCTGAAATATTCCCCTTCTGATTGGAATAGATTCCGAAGTCTGCACCTGCCCCAGCGAGTACATCTCAAGTTGAGTCGACCAGCAACTCATTAAAGACTTGAGTAAATCAAGTAGTCGCTGAGGGAGGTCAATACAATGAAGAGACTTCAGAATCCATTCGTGAGGGACAGAGTCATATGCTTTTCTGTAGTCAATCCAGCACATGGAGAGGTTGCGGTGATATGTTTTAGCCTCTTCCAAAATCATTTTCTGTACAAGAAGTTGATCCTTGCACCCCCAACATCCCTTTCTTGCTCCCTTCTGCTCTCTGTAAATTATATCATTGGAAGAGCAGTAAGATGACACGAGGCCTGTCAAACACCCTGTGAATATTTTGTATTGTGTATTCAAACATGTGATAGGGCGGAAGTTTTTGGGATCAGTCAAGTCTCCTTTCTTGGGGAGAAGTATTGTGCGACCTTTGCAGAACCATGGATGAACATCACCTGTGTCCACAAGAGAATTGAAACAGTGTAGTAATGGTGTTTGGACACAGGAAACAGTTTCAATACCGATTTCGAATGCCATCAGGCCTTGGAGCTGTATTTGATTTGGACTTTTTTATAACACTTTTCAGGCAATCTGGTGAGATGTAACAGACAAACGACCTAGTTACCTTCTCATGCATTGCATGGTCATAATCACGGACCCATGGTGCCTCAAGGTTACAGTTGCCTGGTACAGACCACAACTGTTTCCAGAACCTTTCATTGGCATCCATGGGAGGCCGTTTATCATGTTCACCATCACCCTTTGCTTTCAGTTGCCTGTAGAAGTGCTTTTCATTGTTTCTAAACAGTTTATTTTGTTTGATGAATTTATTTTTCTTCTCCCATTTTTTCTTTCTTTCAGTCCAAACCTTTACTTTTTCCTTAAGGGAATCGACAATTTGGAGAAGTATCTTTTCTTTTGTTGTTTTATATTTCAGTTTTAATTTTCTCCAAATTGCCTTTTGTCTTTTTGACATTGGACTGCCTGATGATCTTAACTCCAGGCACAGCTCTATCCAGGAAATGTATTTTCTAGTTTCCGTTAGTTTTACTTGAAACCGGTTTTTCTTTTGGAAACTGTGTGAAGTTCCTCCAAGGTTCGAGCGGCAGCATAGACACAACAATTAACTTCATGTAATGAACAGTCCGATGAAAGTTTCATAGAAATAATATCATTTAATAAATTAATTTCATTTTGCGGAAAAGATTCATTTGTTTGTTTAATAGGCCTCCGATTTTCTAAAGGTATGCCAGATATTTCATCATAAATAGAATGAAACAAAATATACACAGGATTTTCAGAAAGATCTGCACCTGAGGAAGAGGAAGAGTGAGGGTCTGAAATTTCGGGGCCAATTGGCTCTATGCCGGAAGAGTTTCCATCAGCAAGAGGAAAGAGGTTGACACGGACGTCCATTCGGAGTTTTGGGTCTGCTGCCACTTGAGCATTCTGTTCATGCAAAGGTTCCTGACGGGCACCAGTTGTGGGTTGAACTGGCTCACGGGGCAAGAGATTTTTAAGTCGCCGGAATTGATCTCGGAGATTTTGCTCCGTCAGGTAAGCATACATGGGCATGGCATTGTCCCAATGCAGCTTCAACGACTTGCCATTGATACGTGGATTTTCAGGCCATCCTGTCGCTCTCGCACACTCAAGTAGTGTGGTTTTAAGGTGGTTTGACCAAGATATTCTTGGTCGGGTTCTGTGCCTTCCCCTGGGGCAAGTCCCATCTCCAGTATGGTTGGTTTCACTACCGGAGGAAGGCTGACTGGGCTGCGAAAGTGAATCTAAACTTTCCTTTTGGCTGTCTGTAACCCAGTGAAAAACCAGCTTCGGGGGGTCAGCCCTAACTGGGTGATGCACGTTTGGTTCAGGGAATATAATTCCCCTATCTAGGCCCACCACGGAGAGGCGTACATCATCAGGCCCCCATCATTATTATTATTATTATTATTATTATTATGGCACACACACATGAAGAGCCACTAGTTGAACCCGTAGACGCAACTATTGCTAGAGTGGAACAAACACAGGTGTTAACTGTTTTAGACACTCAGCGTCTTGTGAGATACTTGACTGAATCTTTCCAAGAGTGGAGTTCACCAAGCGATAAACGTCTGAGGCCTGCCTCATTTCACCTCGCTGGGATGTTAAGGGAATACTGTTCAAGGCGGCGTCAGACTCACTCACTAACTCAGTCTTACATCCAGAATACTCCCAGAGTTCCCGGTATTCTTTGTCGCTGGATGTTGTTTGGAAAATATATCCATTGTGTTTGGTATTGTCGAATCGTGCTACTCCCATACAATTTGGAATGAATCTTTAAATAACACAATGGAGTGAGTGAAGCAGGTTTTACGCCGCATTGAACAATATTCTAGCAATGTCTCAGGAGGGGACACCAGGAATGGAATCACGCAATGTACCCATGAGGGGAATCGAACTCAGGTAATCGGCGTACGACGAACGAACGCTTCAATCGCTAGGGTACATCACAAATGTATATCCCAGGATTGACTGGTCCAGCCTCTTTTATTTACAGATCGCCGTCATATATCTGGGATACTGCTATACTGGAGACACATTGTTATGACTGATTATCCGAGATGACAACTCGCTTATAGTTTAGAAGATTTATTTCTGAGGTATTAGAGACAGACTAGACCGACTTGATACACACAGCCTTCAGATCGTTGAAATCGAATATTTGCTTGTTGCATTTACACACGGTGTTTGCGTCAGGTTTGTACACGTCTCCCTCCTTGATGATGTGATCGCCGTACTTGCAGTTCATTCCTGCAACATCAACACAGACAGATTGGTTTACTGGACCCTACATGCATGGCCATGTCCATGGAATAATCGCAAGGCCCTACCGTTTTGGGGAGGATGGGTTGACGATGTTTAAGGTTTTATTAGTGTATAGAATAACAAAACCCTGTTTGGGCGTTGAAGCCTCAAATGGCGTAATTGGTAATGTTAACTTCGTTTGTGTCAAACTGATGGATATAGGAAACTGTTGTGTTATCCAGGTCACATACTGTATATATGCTGGGTATATCGAGCTACTGTTATAACGCAATGTGATAAAGAGCATATGGTGGAAAACAGATCCCTGACGAAGACACACTATATTTCTTACAATACTGGCGACACTGGCCTTCCTTCCTGGTGGGATCCACACACATGACCATGGCACAGTCCACTATCATACAAGAGATGGCATTTCCCCCTCCACACCTGCACGGCCGGCAGGGGTTATTACTAATGGCCTCGCCCGCATGATACGATTTTTTACCAATGACACAAAGATCGTTATTGTTTTCAATGGAAGCGCCGTCACTGGTCAACAGTGGAAGAAAGCAGATGGACAAACAGCATTGCTGCAATCTGTTGCCTGACTAACAGCCAGCAAGAAAAGAATTGGCGGCGTAGCCTAAATTAACGCAGATAAGATAAAGGAACGGTCTGAAGTAACATGTGACTTGAAGAAGTTCGTCGTTCGCTATTGTTGTTTAATGTGCACTTTGCTCAACAGTGCATTATATAGATCATGTCTATAAATGATAATTATATTCTCGAAAACGTATCAAGCGGTCATTGTATCTCATCTCTGAATTTGGAATGTTCCTTTTAGTTTTACTGATCATATGAATGAAGGATTAAACTACTAACATTTATATTCTACGTGTTGAGCGGATGTCAGTTGTGTGAGTTCCCATTTGATGGATTTGTAACGGATGCCACCGATGAGGAGAGGCATATTTAAATATTTCAAAGAGCGACCGACGAGTATAGTTCAGAAGTTGCCGAATCAAAATTACAACATGCAAGGCCCAAGCAAAGATTTCAAAATTTCACTGACAATAAGTGCAGGTCATTTCTATGTTTTATGCATCAGTGACATTTGTAATTCACTATTTTGACTTCTACTTAGTTTCGGAGTTTTCAGGTGAACAATTGGGTTTTCCTTGCATGTGTTGTGGCGGGTGTCACAGTGGAGCAGAATACACTCTCTCATCAGCGGGCACCTGGTGTTACCACAATTTGAATTATGTGTGAGAACAAATCTTCAAGCAAATATAATTCACATATCAGAGTAGTCCGTATTGCGAAACAGTAGGGTTAGGGTTTGTACATACAGTGACCAAAACGTTTATGTTCCATTTCTCAACAACGTTGACAAAAATAACAGCAGTTAATCGTATTTAAGTTCGTCTCATGTACTAGTCGCTGTCAAATAACTCCCCAAGAACAGTATCACGTGGTAATATATATGGTACTTTAACATAACAACTGTTGAATATTGGAAGATATAATTTCAGTTGACGACACAAAGATAGCCATGGATTGTCTGGAATGTCTTTTAAAAAAAAATCGTATGGAATGATTTGAGTTTAAACTATACGTGTGTCACGTTTCAGTAATAGACTAAACCACATTCAACATTGCATTTCAAGCTTTGTATATCGAAGGGGAGATAATTCTAGAAGCACATGGTCAGATAATGAACAGCTGGGGTGTCAGTACGTACGGTCCGGATATGGGATTGAAGAACCTTGAGCCGCCCACAGTGCAAGACAAATTATTTTTAAAAGGATAAACAATTTTTCAGCACTGCATTAAGTCATCTTAACGGTAATAATATCAGCTCTACGTGTCGACTTCAGGCCTGTAAAGTTATACATGATGTCTGAACAGAAATATATGTATAAATACCGTTTGGACAAGACGGACAGCAATTTCCCGGTTTCTGAACGGCGTCGACGCAGGGAGCGTACCTACAGTCAATCTGCAGGCAAGCCATGCGGCCGGTTTGCTCGCATAAGCAGGGCGTGCACGGATCGTCTGTCTTTTCACCAACCATGTAAGTCTTGTTTTGATACACGCATTTGTCAACTGCAGCTGCAACCACCGGAAGTGATGCAGACTCGGAGTACACAACAAGAGCCAGGAATATGGCAGACGACACGACTGTTCCGATCATTGTGAACGAGATGTGAGCAATAATGTTGAGACGTTCCATTTATAGTAGGTTGCCTTATCTACAGGAATATTTTGTTTCCATTTTTTGGTTAGATAATCTGAATTTGGTGAACTCATCGTCGTTCTGAAAGAACGATTACGTGACCTACTCTAGAGTAACGTCTCATCCCATGAGAATCCCACAGATAGGGGCTTGTGACGGTACACAAATAGCATCGAGGCATATATGGTAAATGGTGGGTTCTTAGAAAGATAATAAAGGCAACGGGGTGAACAGCAATAATCAGCCAGATCTACCCGCTGACAATGAGTGCATAGTTTTTCTTCAGATCGTGTTTCGAAATTGATTTGAAAACATGTTTTGAGTTTGGCACATAATGCACCTATGATATGGGTCACTTATGACAAAATTCCGTTGCATTTCTGTTGGCGTATCCGGCCATATGATTCAGCTAGTTTGTGCAAAACCTGAGATGCATGTCAGGGGGTTGGTAAACCCAATAAAACATCCGCTACATTGAAAACCGGTCCAACTTTTACAGAACTCTTCATTGATGGTCATGCTTAATATCAAATGGTTCTCAGAGATTACCCTTTTATGGAAACTTACAGGTTAGGTCCTTATCAAGACTTTGGTGAAGTTCTTCACTTTGTTTGGTTTGCCTTGGACTATTCAGTCAGAACATGGCTCCAATATCATGCCAGTTGTATTTAAGCATTTTATGCATCAGTTAATCACATTTTAGGTTAAGTGTAGTTCATACTATCCTGAATGTAAGGGAGCTCTGGAGAGACACCAAACACGTTTACGAATATGACAAGGACTTATTCTTTTAAAGCTGACTATGTGAAGGATTGATAACTATGCAAAAGGGGTTAAACAATTCCAAACGTTTAACGGATGTAGCTATGCATTATCTGGAGTTGGTGAGTGTGATCCGTTTTGAATGCACACATGATCCCCAGAGTTATCATACATAACCTTCAGTATTATTGACTGTACTCAGCAGAATGTGTACTTTAATTACCAAAGACATTTCTCTCTTTATTTAAACATTATTTCTCCGAAAGGGGAATCCACTCGTTCAATGTTGTTTGTTGGGGTGGGATTCATGTTGTCCTTGGATTCGGAATGCACATTATTGTTCTGCACAAAGCATGTGTGAATCTGGTATTGTGGCCACGGATATATCCATGCCATAACAAGAATAAACTTGTTCTAATAATTTTACCAGAGTAGTGGAATATGAATTGACGTCATGATGGGATTTGACATTTGAAGAAAGAATGACAAGCTTGGATCCAGGATGAGTGAGTGAGTTTAAATTTACTCCACACTCAGCAATATTCCAGCTATATGGGGCGGCCTGTAAATAATCGAGTCTGGACCAGACAATCCAATGATCAACAGCATGAGCATCGATCTGCGCAATTGGGAACCGATGACATGTGTCAACCAAGTCACCGAACCTGAACACCCGATCCCGTTAGACGCCTCTTACGACAAGCATGGGTTACTGAAGATCAATAATATTACCCGGACCTTCACGGGTCCGGATCCAGGATGACGATTATTGCCCTGCCACGAGCATTTAATCGATCGCTTTCAGTATCACATAGAGTTTCGAAAAGAGTCTTCAGATCGGTGTTTTTCACACTTTGTGGCGTCGAACCAGGAACTGCTTTGCTCTGAGATTCGTTCCAGAAAATCACATCCCTTTAACAAGGTGATCGAGGAGAGAGAGGTGTACACGGACGGGGGTGTGACCTGTCGGTGCCAGTTCGTCCCCAGCAGTACGGCCCCTCCTACCGAGCTGTCTGTAACGACACCCACATCTAACGTACAGCACGTACTGATGACAATAGGAGGATGCCATGCTGTCGATGGTACCATTTTACGTGACCATTATCAGGTAATCCTTATGACTTAGCGTTCCATTCGTACCTCATAGGTATAGCCTATATCCTTCCTCATCTGTGGTCATATTTGTGTTTTATTTTGCAATCTGACACAGGGTGTTTCACCAACCACCACTCCAGGGTATCATTGTACAAAACCATCTTAAGACTAAGGTCATCATAACGCCTTTACCTTAGCACAGACTTTGGATCGCTTTATGAGTGAGTGAGTGAGTTATTATTTAACGTCACATCGGCAATATTTCAGCCATATCGTGACGAGAACACTTGACATTGAAATAGAATATATATAGAGATTATAAAACCTGCCGACAAAGGACAGTAAAGCAACTAGAGTATCACAGATATATATGTAAAACTAGTAATTGAATCTAAAACATTTTAACTATAGGGGACAACACAATATAAAAATGGGCTATGGATCGCCAACAACTGAAGGTAGATCACCATACTAGGAACCATGGGGACTTACATTACTTTTGCTACCTGCATGGATCCTAGCTGGATTTACACCATCCCTTCAGCCGCTGGCGATTGTAGGAAAATTTAGCCAACAGTTAAAATAACAAAAATACTACGTTTAAAATGTGATAATTTATATTTTACTTTGAAAGTTTGGGGACTTACATACCCTCTCAGGAGGACAATAATTTTACGGTACTTTAACCCCCCTTTGAGGGTACAGCCACTAACAATCTAAGTTAACAATCTAAACTACCAATCATTAAAATACATCTATTTACAGAACATATTAATCAAAAATCATTAATCAAATCAATTTCTTTTAAAAAAACCAAGAATTAAATGAACATGAACAGTGATCCTTAACAGTTTTAACATTGAAATATTTATCCCTTATGATGGAAAATTACACACAACCAAGCAGGAGAAGTGGGGCCCAGGGTGTAGTACAAGCGATCTTAGAACTAAGACTGTCTGAGAGCTAGTCTCTAATGATTCAAAAATCAGCAAGTAAGTAGCCCTGATTATTCTGAAACCTGTTTCATACTTTGTTATCTATCTGGAACATTGCAGCATAAGATTGCAGTAAACTTCAGACGCCATTGGATATCATGCAGATAACAGTGTGGGTAACTTGTTGTGGAATTTTTGCCACCTGCCTCGGGTCTCCATTGACGACCCTCGACCCCGAGACTACCTGTTACTATGGAAGCAAGGCCTTCGCCATAGGGGAGAGTTTCCTGAAGAGCGAGTGTGAGCCTTGTGTTTGTGCTGAAGGTCACACCATCAGCTGTGTGTACATCACCTGTGCGCCGACACATTGTGCCAACCCAACTTACCTGTCTTCCCAGTGCTGTCAGGAGTGCCCGGATGGTAAGATTTGTGATATTAAGATGGTGAGTTTGGATGCGTGGGGGTAATTTGAGGTGCGCGAACCATAGATCCATGGATTCGAGCTGGTTTATCGAAAAGCGAGCCCTGTTTTTACAGATGATAGGGGATTATGTGCAGGAATCGCAAATCACATCCCATGTTGCCTATTTTAAAAAGATCATACCGCGGTATCGGATAGATGTGGTGAGTGAGTGAGTGAGTGAGTGAGTGAGTGAGTGAGTGAGTGAGTGAGTGAGTGAGTGAGTGAGTGAGTGAGTGAGTGAGCGAGTGAGTGAGTGAGTGAGTGAGTGAGTGAGTGAATAAGTGTAATTTATGCTGCTTTTAGCAAAATTTTAGCGACATCACATCGGGGACACCAGAAAGGCCTTCGGCGTGACAAGCGAACACACGGACCACTAAACTACCCCACCACAAAGGAGGATATGCGAGAAAATTTCCATATGTGATGCTTTCAGTGAAAACCATTATGCCTGATGCAGCTCCCCTGTTTGTTTTGTGCCAGGTGTTCATAGTTTCCAAATGAAAATCTGACTTGACAAAAATCCTTCAGATAGTGCACAACTCGTTCGTCGCTGCTATTTCCAGGTCTAAACTGTCAACATGGTGACAAGGTGCTCAAAGAAGGGGAGGTGTACAGGGACGAGGGTGTGACCTGTCGGTGCCAGTTCGTCCCCCAGCAGTTCGGCTCCGCCTACCGAGCTGTCTGCAACGACACCCACATCTAATGTACATCATGCACGGACGACAATAAACTCAATGAAGGCAGGTTGTCGATGTGACCATTCTCCGCATCTTAGGGGTTTCAGTGCTTTTCTTGCTTGTTTAATGATTTAATAATATTATAAAAACATTATTGTGGTACAGTGGTAGAATTATTACTCGACATCGTTTCCGAGCTGGTTATAATATTTAGAAATAATGCATGATCAAATACTTTTCTATTTTTGAGTGCATGAAAGAGTAATTGAGTACGTTTACTGTAGTACCATGTATTACTGAGGTTCTTGAGAGGCATATAGAAGTTGGTATTCAAGCATAAGACAAAATATTATGTATGTCAACTTCTTGTCTTAGGAGATAAACATCATGTGTTGGCCAATTTCCGGGTGTTATTGAGTATTTCTAAGATGCCTAGCGGTTAGAACAATCGAAAAAAACAAACATTATCAGACAATAAAGGTATAGTTTTTTGCTGACGTAACAATTGAATGACGTTATCCCGTCACTGCGCCATTCTAGTGTGCCCCCTCGTAATCGAACCATTTTACATTACGTCACAATGTAAGCGACGTCACGATGCATGTCAGTTGTCATCGCCTCGTACGGCCTCCTACAGTAAACTACACCGTTGCATCCCGTTTCTTGGTTTGCTGTTGCTTCACGCAGCTAACATCACTGGTTGAAACATTACGTTTATGTTTTACGACGGTTAAAATGTGTCATTCGACTCACAAGTTTTCAGCGACACGGTAACGTTCGTAATGTTTACATTCCCACAATGCAATTGTGGAATGTCGTTTGACTACTCAACTTCCTCTGGATGTACTGATCTAAACTTACGCTGGTAGTAGAAATGCAACGTTCATATTGCCCGATATGGTTTACGTTAATGACAGATGTAATTAGAATAATTCAGAGAAGATATTTAATCCGAACGTAAACCGTCATCAAACTGTTATCATTTGTTTTTTTCTGGTAACGTTCGTCTTAACGTAGGGGGGCAGAAAAATCAATAGAACAGCGCGCCAGTTAGCCCTGTGCGAGGATTCTTAATTTAGGTCACCGACACCGTCGTTTGTTTTCTGCCTTAAATTAATCGTAATTATCTTTAGAAAGTATTAAATTTGGCATCTTAGAAAAGAAATACACTTCGCCCTACCACCATGTATAGTGTAATAAAACACACTTTCGCCCTGAACTATTATAACGTTAAAGCACTCGGACGCAATTACACTATACATGGTGGTAGAGCGAAGTGTATTTCTTAATTGAAGCACGGGATTTTATTTGGAACCGACGGCGTCAGCTGGAGGTTTCAAATGGAATATTCCCATGCTTCAAATACTCACTAACATCCGGAAATTGGCCAACACATGATGTTTATCGACATTGAAAACACAAAAGTAAACCAAAAGGTCCACACAAGTTTTTGTGTCTGCACTCATTGACATCGTGTACGGGTACAGCAGTGAAATGTCATCAACCGGCCGTTTCGGCTGTCTCTCATGGTAGCATCTGGAACTGCTCATTTGTGACGTCATTCGGACCTTACGTCACAATATGATTTGAATGACGTCATCACAGCTGACGACGTATCAATACAATGGTGTGAGCGATGTTTGTATGTATTAATACGCAAAGAATTTCCGGGAATCGAATACCATTTGATCACGTTTTTCAACCAATCAGATTAAAGAACACAGTGACTTTTGGTTTACAATATTCTATACACAACGTATCTATGCTTTTCCTTGCATCTTCGTCAGGGGCAATTCAAATGACGAAAGGGCAAGGAAAAGGGCAGAAACGTTGAAATGGACATCAATAATATTTTGTCTCATACATGCATTAGGCACTTAGACTAGAATAGCCACTATTTATGCTAGAAGCGGCAAGTACTGCCCGCGTGAAACAAACACAGGGGTTAACTGACACCGAGCGTCTTGTGAGATACTTGACTAAATCGTTTCAAGAGTGTAGTTCACCAGGTGATAAACATCTGAGACATGCATCATCTCACCTCGCTGGTCACCTCACCAGGCGGCGTCAAACTCACTCACTAACTCAGTATTACTGCCATATATATTCCCGATATTCCTTGTTTGGACAAAATATCCATTGCGCTTTGTGTTTGGTATTGTCGTATCATACTGATGCCACATTGTCGGGTGTGAATGAATGTTTAGTAATATAAAGGGGTGAGTGAAGCAGATTGTATGTCGCTTTGTGCAACATTCGAGCAATATTACAGCAGGGGACACACATGTGGGCAGTCGAACTCGGGTATTCGGCGTTCGACGAACGAACGCTTTAATCACTCTGGTACATACCAAATGTATATCACAGGATTGTCTGGTCCAGCCTCTTTTTCATTTACAGATCGCCGCCATATAGCTGGGATACTGCTATACTGGAGGCACATTGTTATGACTGATTATCCGAGATGACAACTCGCTTATAGGTTAGAAGATTTATTCCTTTGGTATTAGAGACAGACTAGGCCGACTTGGTACACACAGCCTTCAGGGCGTCGGGACCGAATAGTTGCTTGTTGCATTTACACTCGGTGTTTGCGTCAGGTTTGTACACCTCTCCCTCCTTGATGATGTGATCGCCGTACTTGCAGTTCCTTCCTGCAACATCAACACAGACAGATTGGTTTTCTGGACTCTACATGCATGGCCATGGCCATGTCCATGGAATAATCGCAAGACCATACCGTTTTGAGGTAGAATGGGTTGACGAGGTTTAAGGTTGAGAATGAAAAATAACCCTGTTATTTCACGTAATTGTTCCAAGTTCATTGTGGGCAAAGTTCCGTACACCAGGCAGAATACACTCTCCAATCCGTGTTCATCTGGTGTTACCACAATTTGAGTTGTGGATGACGCAAATACCACTCACACACATCACACTTTTTATGTCAGAGTAATCATTTATCTCAAACTGTAGGGCTACAGTGACCAAAAATGTTATTTTCTATTTCTCAATAACATTGAAGTACATAACAGCAGTTAATTGTTTGGAAGGTGGACTCATGGACCAGTCACTTTAAAATAAATCCTCAGTAAAAGGAACACATCAAAACATATACATGTGTATGATATTTCAACTTAACAGCTGTCGAATATTGGAAGACATATTTTCAGCTGACAACACACAGATAGCGATTGATTGTCTGGAGTGTCTTTTTAAAAATTGTGTGGAATGACTTGTGGTAAGGTTTACGCGTGTCATGTTCCAGTAAGTGACTAAAACACATATTGTTTTTCATTTCAAGTTATCGGAGGGGAGATAACTCCAGATTAAAGGCGTATGCGAAGAAGTACATGGTCAGAATATGAACAACTTGGGTGTCAATACGTTAGGTCCGGGTATGTGATTGAAGAACCATGAGGTGACTCAAATGAGAGCCAAACTAATTTTAAGATTATCAAATATTTATCAGCACTAGCTTTAATAATAATACAGGTTTTTACACATCACCTTCAAGTCTGTAAACTTAAACATGATACTTGAACAGAAATATATGCATAAATACCGTTTGGACAAGACAAACAGCACTGCCCCGGTTTCTGAACGGCGTCGACACAAGGAAAAGGGAAGAAACAGTCAATCACCAGGCAAGCCATACGGCCACTTTGGGTGCACTCACAGGGCATGCACGCACTGTCTGTCTTTTCACCAACCATGTAAGTCTTGTTTTGATACACGCATTGGCCAGCTGCAGCTGCAACCACCGGAAGTGATGCAGACTCGGAGTAGACAACAAGAGCCAGGAATATGGCAGACGACACGACTGTTCCGATCATTCTGAACGAGATGTGAGCGATAATGTTGAGACGCTACATTTATAGTAGGTTGGCTTATCTGCAAGACTTTTTTGTTTCAATTTGTTTGGTCAGATAATCTGAATTCGGTGAAACCACAATGGTACTGAAAGAACGATCACGTCGCCTTTGCTGGAGTTACACCTCACCTCACGAGAATCCCACACGCAGGGGCATGTAACGCTAATAAACTTGCACTGAGGTATATATGGTCACTGGCGGGTTCTTAGAGAGATAATAAAGGCAACCAACAGCATAAATCCGCCAGATCTACCTGCTGATAATGCATGAGAGCTTTTCATCAGATTGCATTTCAAAACTGATTTCAAATCATGTTTTACGATTTTTTCATCTGAGTCACCTTTCATTATTGTCACTTCTGACAAATTTTGCTACATTTCTGTTGGCCTAATCTGCGACATTATTTAGCTATTTTGTGCAAAACCCGACATGTATGTCAGATGGTTGGTAAACCCAATAAAACAGCCGCTACTTTGAAAACAGTTCCAGCTTTTGCCGAACCCTTCAGCAGGGACATCAATGGTGGTCAGGTAATCAGTACATGCTTCCTATCCTAAGGTTCTCAGAGACTACCCTTTTATCCAAAATTACAGGTTAGGTCATTATCAAGGCTTTGGTGAAGTTCTTCACTTTGTTTGGTTTGCCTTGGACTAGTCGTTCAGATCAAGACTCCAATTTCTTGTCAGATGTATTACAGCAGGATATGCATCAGTAAGCCATAACTTAGGTTAAGTCTACTGCATATCATCCTGAATCTGAGGGAGCTCAACACGTCTACGAATATGATAAGACATAGCTTTTCAATCTGAGAAGGACTGGGATGAAGGCATTCCCTTGAGGGAGTCAGCTTTCAAGGAGTCAGTCCAGGAATGCTTATAATTCTTATAACTTAGCTTTTTCGTGTACCTTAAAACATTGGCTTCATGGTTTTATTTACAATGTTTAACCATTTTGGGCTGGCTTCCTGAAGGTTGTAAAGTCTATTAGGCGTAGTTGAAAGTGTCCCAGGAAAAGGGATGGTGATGAAAATACATTATCACAAGAGAGTCTCAAGAGAGAAATGTTTGTCCTGGTGAAAAAGTGTTAGTGCCAATCCATGGTCAGCCACTGTATCCTAGGTACCATGGTCCACAAGTTATTGATAAGAACGTCGGTGATACAGACTATGTTGGAGAAACACAATGTTAATATGTACATTAGAAAGTGTCGTGAAATAAATGACAGCTTCCCCACTGTGTATTGCAACTGTTTTGCTTTTACTCGTCGTATTAGAATGTGTTGCTGATGGGAAATGTGACTTTTGAAGCATTGCTACGAATTTGCTAGCTATGTAACAGGGGGCGCGGTGGGCGAGCTGTCTAAGGCGCCAGGCTAGTGATCCAGAGAGGTTGACGTGTCGGGATCGAGCCCACCTGTGACCGGGTGTAAAAACCTGAAGGTCAACTTTGTGTGCAGACTCTTTCAGTGTTGTCACAACCCCTAGTGTGCAGTACACAACCCTGTGCACTTAAAAGAACCCACGAATCCGTTGGTAGATGACCAGATGGTGGCCACATGAATACGTGCAAACACCTAGTTGCGGGTACAGCAACCTGCAGTGAACTTGGACAAAGTACTGTGACTATGTGTCCCAGTCCACCCAGCTGTGAATGGGTACCTCGTTAGGATGGGAAAGCCACAATAACTCGGTGCGCCTAGTGGCTGCAAGAGTTGTATACTCCCAAGGGAGTTGAGATTGATAATATTATGTGCCGTTGAGATTGATAATATTATGTGCCGTTGAGATTGAGATTCAGTGAGCGACGGAAAAAATACCAGCGCCTTGAGCAAGCACTAGTTGCTTGGATATGTGCGCTATAGAAATATCCTATATTAACGATTCTAACAAATAACGAACCAAGCTAAGCAGGTGTTGTTGAGTGTGATCCGTTTTGAATGCACACATGATTTGCATTCTTCCTAGATATTTCCATGATATTGTCCGGAGAGCGGAAGGTCGCGGGTTCGATCCCCGACCGCGTCATACCAAAAGACGTTAAAATATAGTACGTGTTGGTCCCTGCCTGGCGCTCGGCATTAATGGGTACAACAAGGACTGGTCGGCTGGGAGTCAGTATAATGTGTCTGAGTGGGGTATTCATGCTTCACTGCGGCATGGTATCTCAGTGGGCTAGCACTACAAAACCAGCTTCAGTCTGGGCTAGTACAAGCAGCCACACGTACACATACACATGCATGCACGTCGTCATATGAGCGAAATATTCTCCAGCGTGACGTTAAACCCAATTTCACCTCACTTTATCTCACCATAATATTGTAAGTATCTAGTGTGAAGTATATCTAACCATTTCAGTTGGACGAAGAGTCGGGAAAGGTGGCTGCTAATTATGCCAAGTAACCTTACCGACAGTTTCAGGATCGCAAGAATTTCAGTTCAAGCAACAGGGCAGTATATACCTATAGGACATTATGTATCATTGTACGTGATATAAGAGTCGTCCATTCAATTATTAGAGTCCCCTTGTGATATACTTGACTAAATCTTTCCAAGAGTGTAGTTCACCAGGTGATAAACGTCTGAGGCCTGCCTCATCTCACCTCGCTGGGATGTCACTGGAATACTGTTCAAGGCGGCGTCAAACTCACTCACTAACTCCGTCTTATAGCCAGAATACTCCCTCGGTTCCCGATATTTTTGTCGCTTTGTGTTTGGTATTTTCATATCATATACTGCTCCCATGAATGAACGTTTTAATAACATAAAGGAGTGAGTGAAGCAGGCGTTACACCTCTTATAGAAGTATTCTAGCAACATCACTGTAGGGGACACCTGGAATGGACCTCGCACATTGTACCCATGTGGGGAATCAAACTCGGGTAATCGGCTTTAGTCACTAGGGTACCCCATAAGTGTATATCCCAGGATTGACTGGTCCACCCTCTTTTATATTCAGCCAGCCGTCATATAGCTGGAATACTGCTATACTGAAGACACATTATTATGACTGATTATGTGAAATGACAACTCGCTTATAGTTTAGAAGATTCATTTCTGAGGTATTTGAGACAGACTAGGCCGACTTGACACACAGTGCCTTCAGGGCGTCGGGACCGAATAGTTGCGTGTTGCATTTACACTCGGTGTTGGCGTCGGGTTTGTAGACCTCTCCCTCTTTGATGACGTGATCGTTGTACTTGCAGTTCCTTCCTGCAACACAGACATATAATTATTGGTTTTCTGGACTCTACATGCATGGTCAAGACCATGGAATAGGCCCTACCGTTTTGGGGTAGGATAGGTTGACGAGGTTTACTTTTGTGTTGAGAATGACAAAACCCTGTTTGGGCACTGATGTCTCAAATGGCGTCGCGTAACTGTTATATAAACTGTGAACTGTAAATTGACGGATATAGCAAACTATCTTGTGGACAAGGTCACTTGCTGTAACTATTATATATGGAGCTACTGTTATAACGAACTACAACCTTCAGCAACCGATGCTTTTCCGTAAAAGGGTTCGGGTGGTCAGGCTCACTGACTTCGTTGGCACATGTCAGCATATCCCTGTTACATAGATTTGTGTTCATGCTATCGATCACTGTATCGTATAGTCCAGATTCGATTGTTTACAGATCGCCGCCATGTTGGGTAATTTTGAATTCAACGTTTTTTAAACATCTTTAAAAGTGTAGCAGGAAATGATGTCAATTGAGACATATCAGATTTTATTGTTATCAGGTGAAGGTGTTTTATGTAATTATAAAATTATGCGAATAAAAAGTATAAACTTCTAAACTCCAAAAATATGTTTAAAGCTTTCATTGGTGAAGGGTTATTTAATAAACATTGTGGTTGTTTAAAAATCAGATTTACAAAACTGATAAAAGGTTTTGTTGAGGGTTTGTTAGTACAATTCTATGTGGTTGAGGTGCATCTGAATTATGCCCCATGTGTGAGAAGTTCAAATAATCACCGAAATAATCTTGATACCAATGTTTTTGTGTCATTTGAGGCCACATACAGTATAATCAGGATTCAGTATTCAACACTATTTGTAATACACTCTTGCATCACAGCTCATTGATGAAGTCAAGCAGGATCTAGAGATTGTCACTTCGATTTAACCCACGGACAGGAGTATGGCAATCAATCATGTTCTTTGGTAATGTCACAAAGAACACATGATGGAAAACAGGTCCTTGACGAACACACTCTATATTTCTTACCATTAGGACAATACTGGCAACACTGGCCATCCTTCCTGGTGGGATCCACACACATGACCATGGCACAGTCTACTATCATACAAGAGATGGCATTTCCCCCTCCACACCTGCACGGCCGGCAGGGGTTATTGCTAATGGTCTCGCCCGCATGATACGTTTTGTTACCAATGACGCAAAGATCGTTATTGGTTGCAATGGAAGCAGCTTCACTGGTCAACAGTGGAAGGAAGCAGATGGATAGAAAAAACAACATGGCTGAAATCTGTTGCCTGACTAACAGCCAGGGAGAAAAGGATTGGCGACGTAGCCTAAATTAACGCAGATAAGATAAAGAAACGGTCTGAAGTGACATGTGGCTTGAAGGTGTTCACCATTCACTGCTGTCGTTTTATGTGCACCGTGCTCAACATTACATCATATCAACTTTTATTAAATGATAATTTTATATTTGAAAATATATCAAGCGATCATTGGATCTCATCTCATCTCTTTGCAGTTTTCCTTTTAACTTTCCATACCATATGTATGAAGGATTAAACAGCCAGAATACATATTCTATATTTTCAGTGGATGACAGTTACAGTATTGAAGAGCCTTTGCGTCGGTTTGTGATGGGTACATCGGTTTGTGATGGGTACAACCATTTAGACAGAACACGCTACCACGCTACAACGCCAGTTCAGAAGTTGCTGAATCAAGATTACAACATTCAAAGCCCAAGCATAGTCTTAAAAAGTTTCAATAATTGAAGGTCATTTCCGTATATAATGTATCAATGACAAGTATTGATGACCG